TTTGTATTCACACATCCTTATCTTGTTGGAGTAGTAAAGTGGAATTTTTATTTGACAATATAGTAGGTCCTAAATGAAATTGATTATATATTTTCTTCTTGCTAACTAATCACTTGTTAGGTATTACAAAACAAGTACACCATTCGTTCCAAATTACTCCAAGTTTAAGGTTTGTGCTAAGTCAAATATCTTGATATTTAACCAAATCTATTAAAAAAATATAGCAACATCTACAACATCAATTTAACTTCACTAGATTCATCATAAAAAATATATTTTAACACTATACATATTTGATTTTGTCGATGCTAGTATATTTTCTATATACATGGTCAAATTGAAGAAGTTTGACATAATACAAACTTAGATCTCTTCAAGTATTTTGAAACGGAGGGAGTATGTCCTTTTCCCCTAACCAAGTCATGCTCTTCTACATTAACTACAGAAGTTTTGTACAAGAGACAACTGCACGGTCAGCCAGCGTTGATCTATGCGATTACAGGAATCAGTTCACGTCATGTTCTGAGCTATTAGGTGCACGTTACTAGGAGGGCCTTAAGCGACGACTTTGAGATGCATATACAAGCATTCTAGGAATAAAAATACGTACTCCAGGACTGTGAGCTTGCCGGCCGGCCAGCCGGGTTCTATACAGAACCACCCAAACATACATCAACCACTCTGCGTGGAAGTTTTGCACAATGGTCCAACCGAATGTTGGAGGAGTAAACGTGGACATCTTATCTGATACTCCTACTGATAGTAACAGGTTCGAAAAGATCTTTTTTTGCGAGAAAAAAAAATCGGTCTGATCTTATCTTGTTGCTAACTAATCACTCCTTGGGTTATACTAACTACTAAGGCTGGCCATAGTGGGGGTAATATAATCGGTAACATGCACTTGGGATTAGCAAACATGCTTATGTAGCACACAATTAAAAAAGAAAGAAAGAGTTAGAGTAACATAGGTAGATACCGTATCATTTTAAATGCTATACTATTTTGTGTCATGCATGGTAATAAATATGGTTAGTTATGATACTACTTTATGATACTATGCACTATGGAGGTAACTAGTATATGATATTCCCCACTATGAGTAGCCTAAGCATGTATGGCTTTTGGCCCTAACCAAGTCGTACTCTTCTACACTAAGTACACAAGTTTTGCCCAAAGAGACAACCCACGTTAAGCAAATGCTAATCTATGCAATTACACAAATTCAACGCCTAGATCAGTGCAAATTTATATAACCGCACGTTACTGGGCGCCCTGGCCGACGACTTTGAGATGCTTTAGGAGTACAACCATTCTAGAAAAATGTGGACATGATTGTGAACTTGCCTAGCCAGCCAGTTTCTATAAAGCACAAGAACCCTGCACACCCGAACGTACATCAATCACTGTGCGCTTATCCACCAAACAATTACGAGCAAAGGAGCCATGGATCTGGCAACGGGCGCGATGGGCACCCTGCTCCCCAAGCTGCTCCAGCTCCTCGGTGAGGAGTATAAGCTGAAGGAGAACGTCAAGGAAGGCGTCCGATCTCTTGAGAAAGAGATGAAGAGCATGCATGCTGCCCTCCGCAAGGTGGCCGAGGTGCCGCGAGACCAGCTCGACAAGCAGGTCATGCTTTGGGCAGGGGAGGTGAGGGAGCTCTCCTTCAACATGGAAGACGTCGTCGACAAGTTCCTGGTGCGTGTCGATGACGGCTCTGAGCCTGCCGCGAATCCGAAGAAGCTCAAACGGCTCACAAAGATGATGACTGGGTTGTTCAGCAAGGGAAAGACTCGCCATGAGATCGCCGATGCGATCAAGGACATCAATAAGCAAGTACAAGAGGTTGCTAAGAGGCGTGGAAGGTACAATGTCGACAATATTGTCGCCACGCCTTCAACAGTGACTCCCATCGACCCTCGCCTTGGAGCTCTGTACAAGGAAGTGACAGAGCTCATTGGCATTGATGGAAAAAGGGATCAAGAGCTAATGAAGTTGCTATCAGAAGGGGACATAATGTCCAAAAAAAAGTTGAAAATTGTCTCTGTAGTCGGGTTTGGAGGATTAGGCAAGACCACTCTTGTCAAAACAGTTTATGACAAGATGAAAGGAGATTTCGATTGCAGGGCTTTTGTTCCTGTCGGTCGGAATGCTGACGTGAAGAAGGTTTTCATGGACATCCTTCTTGAACTTGAATTCTATGAAAGTCATCAGCTCACCGTGTTGGATGAAAGACAACTCATCAACAAACTCCAAAATGGTCTAGAGAACAAGAGGTACGTATATAACTATATGTAGCAGGACAGTCACTTAATGGTGGCAACTAGCTCACGTTAATTTTATTTATTTTGCGTGGGTTGATTTTTTTTTATTTGTAGCTGTGAAGTTAGGTGTAAACTGCTCCCTCGGTTCCAAATTCATGCTTTGATTTGTAATTTTCTAGCAAAATATTTATTCAGTAGTTAAAAAATCATAATCATACGAAAGTTCTTTTTAACACGAATCTAATGGTGACTACGCTGGTAACATAAGTTACATATTGTCACATTAATTGTTGTTCAAAGCATGGATTTGAGCAGTCAAACTACGCGTTAGTTTTGAATGGTGGTAATATTATGGAGTTACAAAATTTTAAGATTTTAGAGTTACTTCTATTTCTTACCTCCTAGTAACTGTGACCATGTGAAGGTTAATGTTGTCATATTTTGTATTTTTTTTTTTGAGATATTGTACTTAATTCCAAGACAATGAAAGATTTTACCTCAATTTATTTGTTATCCATAACCAAAATTCTAGATCCACTTGTTAGGCAGGACATATAACTCTGATACATATTCATTAGGATCTTACCGAGTTATATCATATTCCATTCAATTCATTCAAATTTTGTAAGATTAACTCATTTTTTTATGTATAAGGCCGACTGACTATACCATAGTGCCCATGAGCCATGTAAAACAGTTAAAGAATACATTGGTTCGGCTTCTCAGTTTAGGGGACTAGTAAAATGATACAAATGTAATCATAAGATCTTAATTGAGTTGTAAGGAGTGTAACAAAGGCGGGATGGAAGCACGTACAATAAAGTAGTATACACGCTGGCAAAAGATACCATGATATATAGGCATAATTGTCGCCACTACCAGTTCTAGTTATACCTACATGCATCACATACAAGCTCGAAAGTATCTTGTGTAAATGGGAGTATGTGGTGATAGTATGGAACTGCATATTAATTCCTAGAAATTATACATACTATTTTTGGGTGTGCAATTTCCTCACACCTCCTTTATAACCTTTTCATGTACGTTAGTTCGTTTTGTGGTATCCTAGAACTAGCGATAGTATATGAAGATACTTAGAAAGATAAAATGCTATACATAATACCACAACAGTTGTATACGAGACATTGAAAGTCCCATTCTACACCCGAGCTCAAATGAGCTCGGGATGAATAGTAACCCAAAAAATATTTTTAAAATGTTCAAAAAATCTGAAATTTTTATATGGCAGACTTTGACAAATGTTGTAAGATCTTGCAAAATTTCATCGCGAAATCACATGTGTGGAAGTCGTAGCAAAAAAAAAATCAATGCTCCAAAATGCTTTCGAAAGTAGCATTTTCAGGGTATCAATTTTTTTCCACGACTTCCACAAATGTGATTTCATGATGAAACTTTTGAAGCTCTTAGAACATTTTTGGATGTTTGCCATAAAAAATCAGATTTGTTTGAAAAAAATTTAAATGTTATTTTTTTACTGTTCATCTGAGCTCATTTGAGCTCGGGTGCAAAAACTTCACGTGCAGTTTCATACAATTGGGTGTAATCATAACCACAGCAGTTTCATACAATCTATTGATCATCCATATATTAATACATATAAATGGTAGGATAATATACTACTACCATACTGCCCCATGTCTGATATCTCGTTCTCGAGGACCAATCTTATCAAGGTTGTGATATTAGAAAATGTGTACTATTTTTAATCATGCAAAGATAGGCGCTCTTAGATTCATATAGATAGGTAGAAAATGTGTACCTAAATGTACTTTGAGTGAAACATGATCATTAGTCTAGCAATTACCATGTCCTTTGTTTTTGTCCCTTCCGTCTTTATTACCCTTAGTTGTTTCTTCTCAAATATTATGTTCAGTTCATAATGTTAGATTATCTTCAACCCCCCCCCCCCTCTCTCTATCTTAGGCTTACGTGCCATTAATGATCTTACAATTGATATAGGTATCTCATTGTAATTGATGATATTTGGGATGAAAAAATATGGACAATCATCAACTGGGCATTCTCTAAGGGCAACAATTGTGGTAGTCGGTTAATCACGACAACTCGTATAGTAAGCGTATCCAAATTATGTTGCTCGTCTACTAATGATTCAATTTATCAAATGGAACCTCTTAGTGATGATGATTCCAGAAGTCTCTTCGATAAACGGATATTTACTCAAGCGAGTGGATGCCCCCGTGAGTTTGAAGAAGTAACTAGAGATATATTGAAGAAATGTGGTGGTGTTCCATTAGCCATCATTACAATAGCTAGTGTTTTGGCTAGTGGTCAGAAAGTAAATTCGCTTGATGCGTGGCATGTTTTGCTAGAGTCTATTGGTCGTGGACTTACTGAAGACCCCAGTGTGGAGGAGATGTTGAGGATACTATCATTTAGCTATTATGACCTACCCTCTTATCTGAAGACATGCTTATTATATCTAAGCATGTTTCCGGATGATCACAAGATCATGAAAGATCAGTTGATATGGATGTGGATTGGCGAAAGTTTTATCCAATGTGAAGATGCACAAAGTAGGCTATTTGAGATCGGAGAAAACTACTTTAATGAGCTTGTGAACAGAAATTTGATCCAGCCGATATACAATGATGATGATGGCTCTGTAGATGCTTGCCAAGTACACGATAGTGTGCTTGATCTAATTTGTTCCTTGTCAAGGGAAGAGAAATTTGTCACCATAGTGAATGGTACTAATGCATGTCTTTTCATAGCAATGTTCGCATATTGTCCCTTCAAAATGCTAGAAAAGGAGAAGATCCAACCAAACCTCTCAGATCTGAGAGTACAGGGAAAATGAGGTCTGTTGTTACATTTGCACCTGCTATTTACCTCATGCCACCTTTGTCAAGGTTTGTTGTTTTGCGTGTATTAGATTTGGTCGGATATTCTTGTCATCGTCATGACCATCTTAACCTCCGAGATTTGGGGAATTTACTTCACTTGAGGTACTTACGGCTATCGGGAGAAGGAATTCGTGAGTTGCCAGAAGAGATAGGGAAGTTGCAGTTTCTGCAGGTGCTAGATTTGCGTGAAGAGATTGAACAGTTGAGGCTCTTGCATGAAGATAGAATACTGCCATCCACTGTGATTAACCTCACAAGATTAATGTGCCTGCGAATTAGTGACTATGTTCTGGTTCCAGATGGATTTGGAAACCTCACATCAATGGAAGTGCTGGGTAGGATCATTGTTGACTCTGCAAGCATTGTAAAAGAGCTAGGCAACATGAGCAAGTTGAGGGAACTCAATATTTGGTTGGGGAGCTTGGGGTTGGAAGAAGCTTTTGTAGAGTCACTAGGAAAAATGACAAAGATCCAGCATGTAGAAATTGGTGAAGGTGGGGATGCAGTTCCAATGGATCTCTTGGGGGGATGCTGGGTGCCCCCTACAAGTCTCCAGGAGTTTATCATGCACAAGAAAGCCAAATTCTCCACGCTTCCATCATGGATAAGGAGAAATCCCTCGGATATGTCTCAACTCTACAAGTTACAAATCCAGGTCGAGGAAGTGCAACAGGAGGATCTGGGATTCCTTGGAAGGTTACCGGCTCTTCGTATTCTTCAATTAAGAAGTCTCCGCCAAAGGACGCTACACATTGGTGCTGATGATTTCCATTGTTTAACAAAAGTAGGATTGTATTCTTATTCTCCGGGCGGAATCATGTTCCAGCCAGGAGCATTGCCCAAGGCTGAGCGAGTTTTGCTCTGTATCGGTTTATGCGTCGCAAAAAAGGAAGCAGCTAGCGACGGTGGCGATTGGTTTGATCTAGGCTTGGGGAACCTGCCGTCCCTTCGGGACATCCATGTCAGATTCTACCGTTGTGGAGTGACAGTAGAAGAGACCAACCAAGCAGTGGCTGCGGTGCGCAATGCCCTCCGCGCCCATCTTAACCGTCCTACCTTTATCTTCGACTTCAGGTGGGACGTCGCACAAGGTACGTAATTCAAAACCATGATGCTTGTCATTTCCGTTCCCTAGTGCTTTTACCCATGAATGCATTATGCATGTCGTTGCTGAGTTAGTGATCGACCTTCACACTCTCTTTCTTTCTTCCCCAAGACGTTGATGATGACGACATCTCCTACTAGCTAGGAGACGAGGAGTGCATGAAGAACATGCAGGTTACATATGCTTTAATTTCCCGCTTAAAGAAGAGAATCATTTGAAGATTCTAAACTATGTATACATACATGCATGGATTTTATTTTCCTCCCTTATTCATATAGCCACCCTAGCTCATACTTTGTGAAACGTTATTTTATAGGCTCTCGACGTTGCTGTTGGAGACACAAATCTGCAAACCATATGCATATCGGCCTGCAATCTAGCCGACAGCAACATCGATCAACGACACTTGCTATTCCTTGAGCTTCTTTCTCGGCTTAGAGGGAAAAAAGAAAAAGAAAAAAAGGCAAATTACAAAAAAAATCACTTACTATTTGTTGAGCTTACTTCCTGTCTTATACACAGAAAAAAGGTAGTTGGAGTGGGGTGGGGAGTGTATGGAAAACTACAAAAAAAATAGTTTTACATCAGATTTTTTTCTCGCTTTGGATGGGCTTGCTTTTTGCAAAATATATATACTTCTATCTATTTTATTTTGCTCAATTATTATTGATTGTTTTTAAAATATCTTGTAAACCAAAATGCTTTTTTTTTACTTTGTAAAGCCTAGTGTCATATTGCATCAAGCACAGAAAATCCAAAAAAATAGGTTTTAGGTTTTTATGCAATTCGATGTTTTATTTTTGTTTGGGTTTTGGCCTGTCGGTGGATTTTTTAGGGGTGTGGGAGGTGGGGGAACTCCGCCTATGATATTCATGTTAAGTTTATGCTTAATAACATTATCCATAGCCGGTCCCAAGCCCGGATAAAGGAGGAGGGTCCAACCATATATAATTTGTGTTTAACCAAAAACATCTTGATTCTTTAATACTGTCATTTTTTTCTTATCCTTTTGCCCGGATAAAGGAGGTTGTAATTAGATTGTCACAGCTCCATCATAACGTTTCACAGCACCAAATTTGTTAGCTTTTCATTGTTAGTGCGTCATTTGTACAGTTTTGAAGCTTAGAAACCAAAACTAGATAACAACCATCGGTGTTGAGTGTGTGATTTGCAGGATAGGAATAGTTTTATATTTTCAAGCATTTTATAACATCATTGGTAGAAGCTTGAACAATTGTAAAAGCTTATACCAGAGAGAAATTGCAGAGGAAAAACAGAGCAGAGCAGAGAGGAGACGGTTGCAAACTTGCAAGCCGTCTTTGGCCGCATTGTCTGCCACACCTAGAGAAACGATAACAAAACCTCGATGGCTTCTGCCACGGCTGAGCTCCGCATGCTGAAGGCCACCTTATCTGGCATCTGCGGCGACCTACCAGACGGCTGCGGGTGAGTGCTCCGCCAGTTCTCTGACTGTAATTCTCCTATCATAGTTAAATTATGCATGTTGACTCTGTGTGTGTGGGCGCGCGCCTAATAGTACCTTTAGAAAATCATTCAGTAAATCCATTTGAACGTGCTATTTGTTGGAGTATTTCTTATATACATTAAATTACTTATTATCGCTGAAACATAATAGTTTAATGAGAATTACTATTAATTGACCATTCTTTGTTTTCGTTAATGAGGGAGACATACTATATGCAAATTCATTTTTCGTCCCGCAACAGATATCAATTGATCACTTTCCGTGGGTTTTGATAAATAGTTAATTTGTACCTATATGGAGTATGTTATGCTAGTGTAAGTTCTTCCTTGGTTACCAACAAAATTGGCAGAGTTAAATTGTGCAGTGAAAGTACATCTATAGGACCTTTTTTTGTTGTGAATTTTCAATAAAGGTGAAACCTGTTCCAAAAAACTCACAGTCAGCGCTAATATGTTGAATTCCAGTAGCTCATTATTTTATTTTATTTTTGCGGGGCAGTGGTTCATTATTTGATTTGCAGTTAGTACAAAACTACTGATGTTGGTGTGATTTTCATAGTGGGAGTGGAACCACATTTGTATTCTCATAAGAAAGGGTTGAACTGAGTGTGCGATTTTCATTGGAGTATGCTATTTCTTGTTGAAATGAAATTACTTCTTATTCATCCATAGCAGGCTAATGATATTCCTGATTTATACGCATAAAAAAAGTTTACAGAGTTATTTACTACTCCACCCGTAAAGAAATATAAGAGTGTTTAGATCACTAATACTTATCTATTCTCTGTTTTCTAAATGATAAAGTCGATGTGCAAATGTTTTCTCTATTGCCGCAATAATGTCAGTTGTTCTCTTTCTGTGCTCTTTTACAATACGAGCAATCCATAGTTAGTACTAATGGATAATTTATAGCTATATGGAGTGTGTACTATTAGTGTAAATTCTTCCTTGGCCAATGATAACATTACAGGAACTAGCAGTGAAATTCCTTTCTATAGGATTTTCTTTGTTGTGAAGTTTCAGAAAGGGTAATTAAATCACCTGTTGCAGAAAAAAAACCAATCAGTGCTAACATGCTGATTTGTAGCGACGGCCTGTTTGTATACGTTGGACAAGTTAAGAATTTTCGAAACACTTTGTTCGAGCTGCTCTCGGAAGCTCTTGGGCTCAGATCAAGATACTTGAAATATAGAGTGCAGCCAAGAACAGATCATGCTCTACTGCCATCCGTGCCCCCAGCCTGAACTCTCAACTGGGACTCTAGCTTCCTGACCATACTTCTCCAAGATGAAATCGGAGGCCTCAAAATCCTCCATGAGGACCGATGGGTAGACTGTTGGGGAACGCAGTAATTTTAAAAAATTTCCTACGATCACGCAAGATCTATCTAGGTGATGCATAGCAACGAGGGGGGAAGTGTGTCCACGTACCCTCATAGACCGAAAGCGGAAGCGTTAAGTAACACGGTTGGCGTAGTCGAACGTCTTCGCGATCCAACCGATCAAGTACCGAACGCACGGCACCTCCGTGATCTGCACACGTTCAACTTGGTGACGTCCCTCGAACTCTAGATCTAGCTGAGGCCGAGGGAGAGTTCCGTCAGCACGACGGCGTGGTGACGGTGATGATGAAGTTACCGGCGCAGGGCTTCACCTAAGCACTACGACGATATGACCGAGGTGGAAAACTGTGGAGGGGGGCACCACACATGGCTAAAAGATCAACTTGTGTGTCTATGGGGTGCCCCCTCCCCCGTATATAAAGGAGGGGAGGAGGCCGGCCTCATGGGGCGCGCCCCAAGGGGGGAATCATACTCCTACTAGGAGTAGGTTCCCCCTTTCCTAGTCCAACTACGAGGGGAAGGAAAGAGGAAGAGGCAGAGAAGGAAAGGGGGGCCGCCCCCCTCCCCAATTCAGATTGGGCTTGGGGGCGCGTGCCTCCACTTGTCCGCCTCCTCCTCTCTTCCACTAAAGCCCATGTAGGCCCATTAACTCCCCGGGGGGGTTCCGGTAACTCCCCGGTATTCCGGTTATATCTGAAACACTTTCGGTGTCCGAACATAGCCGTGCAATATATCAATCTTTATGTCTCGACCATTTCGAGACTCCTCGTCATGTCCGTGATCTCATCCGGGACTCCGAACAACCTTTGGTACATCAAATCACATAAACTCATAATACCAATCGTCATCGAACGTTAAGCGTGCGGACCCTACGGGTTCGAGAACTATGTAGACATGACCGAGACACGTCCCCAGTCAATAACCAATAGTGGAGCCTGGATGCTCATATTGGTTCCTACATATTCTACAAAGATCTTTATCGGTCAAACCGCATAACAACATACGTTGTTCCCTTTGTCATCGGTATGTTACTTGCCCAAGATTCGATCGTCGGTATCATCATCCCTAGTTCAATCTCGTTACCGGCAAGTCTCTTAATTCGTTCCGTCATACTTCATCCCGCAACTAACTCATTAGTCACAATGCTTGCAAGGCTTAGAGTGATGAGCATTACCGAGAGGGCCCAGAGATACCTCTCTGATTCACGAAGTGACAAATCCTAATCTCGTTCATCAAATGACAACACATGTCTATGGTTAGGAAACATAACCATCTTTGATTAACGAGCTAGTCAAGTAGAGGCATACTAGGGACACTTATGCTTTGTCTATGTATTCACACATGTACTAAGTTTCCGGTTAATACAATTCTAGCATGAATAATAAACATTTATCATAAATAAGGAAATAAATAATAACTTTATTATTGCCTCTAGGGCATATTTCCTTCAGTCTCCCACTTGCACTAGAGTCAATAATCTAGTTCACATCACCATGTGATTTAACACCAATAGTTCACATCTATATGTGATTAACACCCATAGTTCACATCACCATGTGATCAACACCCAAAGGGTTTACTAGAGTCAATAATCTAGTTCACATTGCTATGTGATTAACACCCAAACACTACTAGGGAAAACCCTAGCAGTAGCACTGGTTTTGTGCTCATTAGTTGCGCGGGTAGGCGCGCTACTAATAAGGCGCTACAGCTATTGCTTAGCAGTAACGCGTGCCCGCAAGCGCTACTGCTAGGACAAATAGCTGCAACGTTTGTTCAGTACCACGCTACTGCTAAGGTAACTACTTGCAGCGTGTTTTCTGTCCATCGCTATTAGTATTTTTTTTTCTTTTTTTTAGTGTATTTATGCGTCATCATACAAATATTGGTACAATACCAGTTATGAGGTTTACATCATTATGTCCATAACAGTGTGTCAAATGAAGGTGGATTAGGTTCAAGTGGAGGCAATATGTGGTGCATGTCAAAAGTATACTAATAATACAAACTTGATCTAGTTTGGACTAGTAGTACTTTTGATGTGCACCACATGTTGCCTCCACTTGAATCTAATCCGCCAGCATAAGCTATTTAATCATCATCATAGTCATTACCACCAACAGTATTTATTTAATCACTACTAACACTAGCTAATAATAATCATCATAGTCATTACCACCAACACTAGCTATTTTATCACTCCTGCTGCTCTGTCTTAGGTAAAATAACATAAAACATGTATAGCTCTCCTCCTTGATCAAGCTGAAGCATGCAGATGAACTTGTCTCCTAATCGTGGGTAGCGCATCTGTTT